CCACCACTACCACCACCACCACCCCCACCACCATCACCACCCCCACCACCACCACCCCCACCACCACCACCCCCACCACCACCACCACCCCCACCACCACCACCACCACCCCCACCACCACCACCACCACCCCCCACCACCACCACCATCACCACCACCATCACCACCACCACCACCACCATCACCACCCCCACCACCACCATCACCATCATCACCACCACCACCACCATCATCATCACCACCACCACCATCACCACCACCCCCACCACCACCACCCCCACCACCACCACCACTACCACCACTACTACTACCACCACCACCACCCCCACCACCACCACCCCCACCACCACCCCCACCACCACCACCACCCCTACCACCACCACCACTACCACCACCACCCCCACCACCACCCCCACCACCACCACCCCCACCACCACCATCACCACCACCATCACAACAACCACCACTACCACTACCACCACCACTACCACCACCACCACCACCCACACCACCACCCCCACCACCACCACCACCACCCCCACCACCACCACCACCCCCACCGCACTACCGGTGATGACGTTGATGTCTGGGTAGGCGTCCTCCGTGATGGACACCCCAGGTCCGTCTCTTTCCAACCTCTCCCTCAGCTCCTTCTTAACGAGCGCAGAGCCACATAGACGGTACAGTCCAACCACCTACAGGTGGGGGTTCAATAGATTCACGTGGTCAGTGCAGTACAACCACCTACAGGTGGGGGTTCAATAGATTCACGTGGTCAGTGCAGTACAACCACTTATAGCAGGACAGTCAGTAGCACAGCTGAGTGAGTGATTAGCTGAGTGAGTGAGTGAGTAGCTGAGTGAGTAGCTGAGTGAGTGGCTGTGTGAGTGAGTAGCTGAGTGAGTGAGTAGCTGAGTGAGTGAGTGATTAGCTGAGTGAGTGAGTAGCTGAGTGAGTAGCTGAGTGAGTGAGTGATTAGCTGAGCGAGTGAGTTAGTAGCTGAGTGAGTGAGTAGCTGATTGAGTAGCTGAGTGAGTGGCTGTGTGAGTGAGTAGCTGAGTGAGTGAGCAGCTGAGTGAGTGAGTGAGTGGCTGAGTGAGTAGTTGAGTGAGTGAGTAGTGAGTGAGTGAGTAGCTGTGTGAGTGAGTAGCTGATTGAGTAGCTGTGTGAGTAGCTGAGTGAGTGAGTAGCTGAGTGAGTGAGTAGCTGATTGAGTAGCTGTGTGAGTAGTTGAGTGAGTAGCTGAGTGAGTAGCTGAGTGAGTGAGTAGCTGAGTGAGTGAGTAGCTGAGTGAGTAGCTGAGTGAGTAGTGAGTGGCTGTGTGAGTGAGTAGGTGTGTAAGCAGCTGAGTAGCTGAGTGAGTAGCTGAGTGAGTGAGTATCTGAGTGAGTAGCTGATTGAGTAGCTGTGTGAGTAGTTGAGTGAGTAGCTGAGTGAGTAGCTGAGTGAGTGAGTAGCTGAGTGAGTGAGTGAGTAGCTGAGTGAGTAGTTGAGTGAGTGAGTAGCTGTGTGAGTGAGTAGCTGAGTGAGTAGTTGAGTGAGTAGCTGAGTGAGTAGCTGAGCGAGTAGCTGAGTGAGTGAGTAGCTGAGTGAGTGAGTAGCTGAGTGAGTGAGTAGCTGTGTGAGTAGTGAGTGAGTGGCTGAGTGAGCGAGTTGGTGAGTGAGCGAGTTGGTGAGCGAGCGAGTTGGTGAGCGAGCGAGTAGCCGGTGAGCGAGTTGGTGAGCGAGCGAGTTGGTGAGCGAGCGAGTTGGTGAGCGAGCGAGTTGGTGAGCGAGCGAGTGGCTGAGCGAGTGAGTTGGTGAGCGAGCGAGTGGGCTGAGCGAGTGAGTTGGTGAGCGAGCGAGTTGGTGAGCGAGCGAGTAGCCGGTGAGCAAGCGAGTTGGTGAGTGAGCGAGTTGGTGAGCGAGCGAGTGGCTGAGCGAGCAAGTTGGTGAGCGAACGAGTAGCCGGTGAGTGAGTTGGTGAGCGAGCGAGTTGGTGAGCGATCGAGTTGGTGAGCGAGTTGGTGAGCGAGTTGGTGAGTGAGCGAGTTGGTGAGCGAGTTGGTGAGCGAGCGAGTTGGTGAGCGAGCGAGTTGGTGAGCGAGCGAGTTGGTGAGCGAGCGAGTTGGTGAGCGAGCGAGTAGCCGGTGAGCGAGCGAGTTGGTGAGCGAGTTGGTGAGCGAGCGAGTTGGTGAGCGAGTTGGTGAGCGAGTTGGTGAGCGAGCGAGTCGCTGAGCTAGCCAGTGACTGAGTGAGCGAGTTGGTGAGCGAGCGAGTTGGTGAGCGAGTAGCCGGTGAGCGAGCGAGTTGGTGAGCGAGTTGGTGAGCGAGCGAGTTGGTGAGCGAGTTGCTGAGCGAGCGAGTTGGTGAGCGAGCGAGTTGGTGAGCGAGTCGCAGAGCGAGCGAGTTGGTGAGCGAGCGAGTGGCTGAGCGAGCGAGTTGCTGAGCGAGCGAGTAGCCGGTGAGCGAGCGAGTTGGTGAGCGAGCGAGTTGGTGAGCGAGTCGCTGAGCGAGCGAGTGACTGAGTGAGGCGAGCGAGTTGGTGAGCGAGCGAGTCGCTGAGCGAGCGAGATGGTGAGCGAGTTGGTGAGCGAGCGAGTTGGTGAGCGAGCGAGTTGGTGAGCGAGTCGCTGAGCGAGCGAGTGACTGAGTGAGCGAGCGAGTTGGTGAGCGAGCGAGTTGCTGAGTGAGCGAGTTGGTGAGCAAGCGAGTTGGTGAGCGAGCGAGTTGGTGAGCGAGTCGCTGAGCGAGCGAGTGACTGAGTGAGCGAGCGAGTTGGTGAGTGAGCGAGTCGCTGAGCGAGCGAGTTGGTGAGGCGAGCGAGTCGTTGAGCGAGCGAGTTGGTGAGCGAGCGAGTCGGTGAGCGAGTTGGTGAGCGAGCGAGTGGCCGGTGAGCGAGTTGGTGAGCGAGTTGGTGAGTGAGCGAGTCGCTGAACGAGCGAGTTGGTGAGCGAGCGAGTCGCTGAGCGAGCGAGTTGGTGAGCGAGCGAGTCGGTGAGCGAGTTGGTGAGCGAGCGAGTGGCCGGTGAGCGAGTTGGTGAGCGAGTTGGTGAGTGAGCGAGTCGCTGAACGAGCGAGTTGGTGAGCGAGCGAGTCGCTGAGCGAGCGAGTTGGTGAGCGAGTTGGTGAGCGAGCGAGTGGCCGGTGAGCGCCTCACCTGCAGCCCCCTGCGTTCTATCTCCGAGACGCAGGCGTGGATGACGGAGGGAACTCCGCCCGGGCCGCTGCCGTCACGCTCCACCAGGCGGCGCAGGTCCACGCCAAACAGGGGCAGTCTGGCCACGCCCACGGAGGCCCCGCCCACGGAGGCCCCGCCCACGGAGGCCACGCCCACGGAGGCCCCGCCCACGGAGGCCCCGCCCACGTCGACGCCCACAGCATCCATCGCCTGGCACACGAGGGGGGGGGGGGGGGGGGGGGGGGGGGGGGGGGGGGGGGGGGGGGGAGATGATTGTGAGGGGGGGGTGGTGATGGTGACGCTGATGATGATGGTGATGATGATGATGATGACGATGATGATGACGACGACGAGGACGATGATGATGCTGATGATGGTGATGATGACGATGATGATGGTGATGATGACGACGATGATGACGATGACGATGGTGATGATGATGATGACGCTGACGATGATGGTGATGATGGTGATGATGATGATGCTGATGATGATGACGCTGATGATGATGACGACGCTGATGATGACGACGCTGATAGTGGTGGTTATGACGATAGTGGTGGTTATGACGATGATAGTGGAGGTGGTTATGGTTATGATGATGGTGGTTGTGATGATGATGGTGGTGGTTATGATGATGGTGGTTATGATGATGATGGTGGTGGTTATGATGATGGTGGTTATGATGATGGTGGTGGTTATGATGATGATGGTGGTGGTTATGATGATGGTGGTTATGATGGTGGTGGTTATGATGATGATGGTGGTGGTTATGATGATGGTGGTTATGATGATGGTGGTGGTTATGATGATGATAGTGGTTATGATGATGGTGGTTATGATGATGATGGTGGTTATGATGATGGTGGTTATGATGATGATGGTGGTTATGATGATGATGGTTATGATGATGGTGGTTATGATGATGGTGGTTATGATGATGATGGTGGTTATGATGGTGGTTATGATGATGATGATGGTGGTTATGATGATGATGGTGGTTATGATGATGATGGTGGTTTGGATGATGGTGGTGGTTATGATGATTATGGTGGTTATGATGATGATGGTGGTTATGATGATGGTGGTGGTTATGATGATGGTGGTTATGATGATGATGGTGGTTATGATGATGGTGGTTATGATGATGATGATGGTGGTTATGATGATGGTGGTGGTTATGATGATGGTGGTTATGATGATGATAATGATGATGGTGGTTATGATGATGGTGGTGGTTATGATGATGGTGGTGGTTATGATGATGGTGGTGGTTATGATGATGGTGGTTATGATGATGATGGTGGTGGTTATGATGATGGTGGTGGTTATGATGATGATGATGGTGGTTATGATGATGATGGTGGTTATGGTGGTGGTTATGATGATGATGGTGGTTGTTATGAAGATAGTGGTTATGATGATGGTGGTTATGATGATGGTGGTTATGATGATGGTGGTTATGATGATGATGATGATGGTGGTTATGATGATGGTGGTGGTGGTTGTTATGATGATTTTGGTTATGATGATGATGATGGTGGTTATGATGATGGTGGTTACGATGATGATGGTGGTGGTGGTTATGATGATGATGGTGGTTATGATGATGATGGTTATGATGATGGTGGTGGTGGTTATGATGGTGGTGGTTATGATGATGGTGGTTATGATGATGATGGTGGTTATGATGATGGTGGTGGTGGTTATGATGATGGTGGTGGTTATGATAGTGGTTATGATGATGGTGGTTATGATGATGGTGGTGGTTATGATGATGATAGTGGTTATGATGATGGTGGTTATGATGATGGTGGTTATGATGATGGTGGTTATGATGATGGTGGTTATGATGATGGTGGTTATGATGATGGTGGTTATGATGATGATGGTGGTGGTTATGATGATGGTGGTAGTTATGATGATGATGGTGGTTATGATGATGATGATGGTGGTTATGATGATGGTGGTGGTTATGATGATGGTGGTTATGATGGTGGTTATGATGATGATGGTGGTGGTTATGATGATGGTGGTGGTTATGATGATGATGGTGGTTATGATGATGGTGGTTATGATGATGATGGTTATGATGATGATGGTGGTGGTGGTTATGATGATGGTGGTTATGGTGGTGGTGGTTATGATGATGATGATGATGATGGTGGTTATGATGATGGTTATGATGATGGTGGTGGTTATGATGATGGTGGTGGTTATGATGATGATGATGGTGGTTATGATGATGGTGATGGTGGTTATGATGATGATGATGGTTATGATGATGGTGGTGGTTGTTATGATGGTGGTTATGATGATGATGGTGGTTATGATGGTGGTTATGATGATGGTGGTTATGATGATGATGGTTATGTTGATGGTGGTTATGATGATGGTGGTTATAATGATGGTGGTGGTTATGATGATGATGGTGGTTATGATGATGATGGTGGTGGTTATGAAGATGATGGTGGTTATGATGATGGTGGTTACGATGATGGTGATGGTGGTTATGATGGTTGTTATGATGATGATGATGATGGTGCTGGTTACGATGATGATGGTGCTGGTTATGACGATGATGGTGGTTATGATGATGGTGCTGGTTACGATGATGATGATGATGATGGTGGTACTGGTTATGATGATGATGATGGTTGTTATGATGATGATGATGATGGTGGTTATGATAATGATGATGATGGTGGTTGTTATGATGATGATTATTATGGTGGTGGTACTGGTTATGATGATGATGGTGGTGCTGGTTATGGTTATGATGATGATGGTGGTTATGATGATGATGGTGGTGGTGGTTATGATGATGATGGTGGTTATGATGATAATGATGATGGTGGTTATGATGATAATGATTATGGTGGTTATGATGATGATGGTGGTTATGATGGTGGTGGTACTGGTTATGATGGTGGTAATGATGATGATGGTGGTTATGATGATGGTGGTTATGATGATGATGGTGGTTACGATGATGGTGATGGTGGTTATGATGATGATGATGGTGGTTATGATGATGATGGTTGTTATGATGATGATGGTTGTTATGATGATGATGATGGTGCTGGTTATGATGATGATGGTGGTTATGATGATAATGATGATGGTGGTTGTTATGATCATGATGATTATTATGGTGGTACTGGTTATGATGATGATGGTGGTGCTGGTTATGGTTATGATGATGATGGTGGTTATGATGATAATGATGATGGTGGTTGTTATGATGATGATTATTATGGTGGTGGTACTAGTTATGATGATGGTGGTGCTGGTTATGGTTATGATGATGGTGGTTATGATGATGATGCTGGTTATGGTTATGATGATGGTGGTTATGATGATGATGATGATGGTGGTTATGATGATGGTGATGGTGGTTATGATGATGATGATGGTGGTTATGATGATTATGGTTGTTATGATGATGATGATGGTGCTGGTTATGATGATGATGGTGGTTATGATGATAATGATGATGGTGGTTGTTATGATCATGATGATTATTATGGTGGTACTGGTTATGATGATGGTGGTGCTGGTTATGGTTATGATGATGATGGGGGTTATGATGATAATGATGATGGTGGTTGTTATGATGATGATTATTATGGTGGTGGTACTAGTTATGATGATGGTGGTGCTGGTTATGGTTATGATGATAATGATGGTGGTTATGATGATGATGCTGGTTATGGTTATGATGATGGTGGTTATGATGATGATGGTGGTGGTGGTGGTTATGATGATGGTGGTGGTTATGATGATGGTGATGATAATGATGGTGCTGTTTACGATGATGATACTGGTTATGACGATGATGGTGCTGGTTATGATGATGATGGTGGTACTGGTTATGATGATGATGGTGGTTACGATGATAATGATGATGGTGCTGGTTACGATGATGATGATGATGGTGCTGGTGGTTATGATAATGATACTGGTTATGATAATGATGATGGTGGTGCTGGTGCTGGTTGTGGTGCTGGTTACGACAATGATGATGATGATGATGATACTGGTTATGATGATGGTGGTGGTTACGGTGATGATGATGATGATGATGGTTACGATGATGATGATGATGGTACTGGTTATGATAATGATGATGATGCTGGTTATGATAATGATGATGGTGGTGGTTATGATGATGATGGTGCTGATTATGAAGATGATAATGATGGTTATGATGATGATGGTGGTTACGATGATGATGATGGTGGTACTGGTTATGATGATGATACTGGTTATGATGATGATGGTGCTGGTGCTGGTTATGAAAATGATGATGGTTATGATGATGGTGGTTACGATGATGATCATGATGATGATGGTACTGGTTATGATGATGATACTGGTTATGATGATGGTGCTGGTGCTGGTTATGATAACGATGATGATGGTGGTTATGATAATAATGATGATGATGGTGCTGGTTGTGGTGCTGGTTACGATGATGATGATGGTTACGATGATAATGATACTGGTTACGATGATAATGATGATGCTGGTTATGATGATGATGATGGTGCTGGTGCTGGTTGTTATGATGCTGGTTATGATAATGATGATGGTGCTGGTTGTTATGATGCTGGTTATGATAATCATGATGGTGCTGGTGCTGGTTTATATGATGCTGGTTATGATAATGATAATGATGCTGGTGCTGGTTGTTATGATGCTGGTTATGATAATGATGATGCTGGTGCTGGTTGTTATGATGCTGGTTATGATAATGATGCTGGTGCTGGTTGTTATGATGCTGGTTATAATGATGATGGTGATGGTGCTGTTGTTATGATGCTGGTTATGATAATGATGATGATGATGGTGCTGGTGCTGGTTGTTATGATGCTGGTTATGATAATGATAATGATGATGGTGATGGTGCTGGTGCTGGTTGTTATGATGCTGGTTATGATAATGATAATGATGATGGTGCTGGTGCTGGTTGTTATGATGCTGGTTATGATAATGATAATGATGCTGGTGCTGGTTGTTATGATGCTGGTTATGATAATGATGATGATGCTGGTGCTGGTTGTTATGATGCTGGTTATGATAATGATAATGGTGCTGGTGCTGGTTGTTATGATGCTGGTTATGATAATGATGATGGTGCTGGTGCTGGTTGTTATGATGCTGGTTATGATAATGATGATGATGGTGCTGGTTGTTATGATGCTGGTTATGATAATGATGGTGCTGGTTGTTATGATGCTGGTTATGATAATGATAATGATGCTGGTGCTGGTTGTTATGATGCTGGTTATAATAATGATGATGGTGCTGGTGCTGGTTGTTATGATGCTGGTTATGATAATGATGATGGTGCTGGTGCTGGTTGTTATGATGCTGGTTATGATAATGATGATGGTGATGATGCTGGTTGTTATGATGGTGGTTATGATAATGATGATGGTGCTGGTGCTGGTGCTGGTTGTTATGATGCTGGTTATGATAATGATGATGGTGCTGGTGCTGGTTGTTATGATGCTGGTTATGATAATGATGATGGTGATGATGCTGGTTGTTATGATGGTGGTTATGATAATGATGGTGCTGGTGCTGGTTGTTATGATGCTGGTTATGATAATGATGATGGTGCTGGTGCTGGTTGTTATGATGCTGGTTATGATAATGATGATGATGCTGGTGCTGGTTGTTATGATGCTGGTTATGATAATGATGATGGTGCTGGTGCTGGTTGTTATGATGCTGGTTATGATAATGATGATGGTGCTGGTTGTTATGGTGCTGGTTATGATAATGATGATGATGGTGCTGGTTGTTATGATGCTGGTTATGATAATGATGGTGCTGGTTGTTATGATGCTGGTTATGATAATGATAATGATGCTGGTGCTGGTTGTTATGATGCTGGTTATGATAATGATAATGATGATGGTGCTGGTTGTTATGATGCTGGTTATGATAATGATGATGGTGCTGGTGCTGGTTGTTATGGTGCTGGTTATGATAATGATGGTGGTGCTGGTGCTGGTTGTTATGATGCTGGTTATGATAATGATGATGCTGGTGCTGGTTGTTATGATGCTGGTTATGATAATGATGCTGGTGCTGGTTGTTATGGTGCTGGTTATGATAATGATGATGATGATGGTGCTGGTGCTGGTTGTTATGATGCTGGTTATGATAATGATGATGATGATGCTGGTTGTTATGATGCTGGTTATGATAATGATAATAATGATGATGATGATGCTGGTTGTTATGATGCTGGTTATGATGATGGTGCTGGTTGTTATGATGCTGGTTATGATAATGATGATGGTGCTGGTGCTGGTTGTTATGGTGCTGGTTATGATGATGATGGTGCTGGTTATGATAATGATGGTGCTGGTTATGATAATGATGATGGTGCTGGTGCTGGTGCTGGTTGTTATGATGGTGGTTATGATAATGATAATGGTGATGGTGCTGGTGCTGGTTGTTATGATGCTGGTTATGATAATGATGGTGCTGGTTGTTATGATGCTGGTTACGATGATGATAATGGTGCTGGTTGTTATGATGCTGGTTATGATAATGGTGATGGTGCTGGTGCTGGTGCTGGTTGTTATGGTGCTGGTTATGATAATGGTGCTGGTTGTTATGATGCTGGTTATGATAATGATAATGATGCTGGTGCTGGTGCTGGTTGTTATGATGCTGGTTACGATAAAGATAATGATGCTGGTGCTGGTTGTTATGATGCTGGTTATGATAATGATAATGGTGCTGGTGCTGGTTGTTATGATGCTGGTTACGATAATGATGATGGTGCTGGTGCTGGTGCTGGTTGTTATGATGGTGGTTATGATAATGATGATGGTGCTGGTGCTGGTTGTTATGGTGCTGGTTATGATAATGATGATGGTGCTGGTGCTGGTTGTTATGGTGCTGGTTATGATAATGATGGTGCTGGTTGTTATGGTGCTGGTTATGATAATGATGATGGTGCTGGTGCTGGTTGTTATGGTGCTGGTTATGATAATGATGGTGCTGGTTGTTATGGTGCTGGTTATGATAATGATGATGGTGCTGGTGCTGGTTGTTATGGTGCTGGTTATGATAATGATGGTGCTGGTTGTTATGGTGCTGGTTATGATAATGATGATGGTGCTGGTGCTGGTTGTTATGATGCTGGTTACGATGATGATAATGGTGCTGGTGCTGGTGCTGGTTGTTGTGACGACCGCCGCTATCCTCCCTCACCTCTCGCCGACGCCGCCGCCGCCTCCCCCCCCTCTGCCCCCGTCAGTGTCAGCTTCACGTAGATCACCCCTTGGGGCTCACAGCGCACAGCCAGCTGGTGGCAACGCTGATGGTGAACCTGCTGCTGATGATGATGTTGAACCTGCTGCTGCGTGGCCACCGTCGCCGCCGGCAACGGCGGGCCGCCCGTCGCCGCGGCCGCGGGGGAGAAGAGGTGACCCAGGGCGACGTCGCCGTGGCAACAGAGCCTCCTGGGAGTCTCCCAGGAGAGAAGGAGCAGGCGGAGTCTCGCCGATGACTCCAGCTGCAGCGTGAAGGAGTGGTCCATGTCCATGAGGGTGGCGTGGGTCTCGAGGCGGGCCGTGCGGGCACGGGTTGAGCCGTCCACCTGGCGGGAAGGGGCGCGGGGAAGAGGCGGGGGTTGGTGTAGTGATGGCAGTGATGGTGGTGGTAGTGATGGTAGTGATGGTGGTGGTAGTGGTGGTAGTGATGGTGGTGAAGGAGTGATCCATGTCCAGGAGGGAGGCGTGGGTCTCGAGGCGGGCCGTGCAGGCACGGGTTTAGCCGTCCACCTGGCGGGAAGGGGCGGGGAACGTGGGTATAGTGATGGTAGTGATGGTAGTGATGGTATTGATGGTACTGAGGGTACTAGTGATGGTAGTGATGGTGCTAGTGAAGGTAGTGATGGTGCTAGTGATGGTAGTGATGGTGCTAGTGATGGTACTAGTGATGGTAGTGATGGTGCTAGTGATGGTACTAGTGATGGTAGTGATGGTGCTAGTGATGGTAGTGATGGTACTAGTGATGGTAGTGATGGTGCTAGTGATGGTAGTGATGGTAGTGATGGTGCTAGTGATGGTAGTGATGGTACTAGTGATGGTAGTGATGGTACTAGTGATGGTACTAGTGATGGTGCTAGTGATGGTAGTGATGGTAGTGATGGTGCTAGTGATGGTACTAGTGATGGTAGTGATGGTACTAGTGATGGTAGTGATGGTACTAGTGATGGTAGTGATGGTACTAGTGATGGTACTAGTGATGGTAGTGATGGTACTAGTGATGGTACTAGTGATGGTACTAGTGATGATACTAGTGATGGTAGTGATGGTACTCGCGAGTGGTAACCAGCGAGCGGTCTCTCACCTGGATGGCACAACACAAGTCCCGCTGCTCCCTGCGTGGCAGTCGCAAGCTGTCGGCGCCGTACAGGTGAACAATCACCAGGCCAGACACGGCCGCAGCCACACCGCCGCCGGCACCACCGCCGGCACCACCGGCACCACCGGCACCACCGGCACCACCGCCGGCACCGGCGGCAGCGCCCGGAGCGTCTTCTGTCACGTGGTACGGACGGAACGCCTCGAAGTTGACCTCGGCGCCTATCGGCGTCGCCCGGTGAACAGCTGCTGCACCGCCTCCGCCGCCACCGGCACCGGCACCTCTTACACCTACACCTACAACTCTTACACCTCGTCGACTAACACCACCTCCACCACCTCCACCACCTACTCCACCATCTCCACCTCCTCCTGCACCACCACCACCACCACCTACTCCTCCATCTCCACCACCACCATCTCCACCTCTTACACCTACAACTCTTACACCTCGTCGACTAACACCACCTCCACCACCACCACCACCACCTACTCCACCATCTCCACCTCCTCCTGCACCACCACCACCACCACCTACTCCTCCATCTCCACCACCACCTCCACCACCACCACCACCATCTCCACCTCTTACACCTACAACTCTTACACCTCGTCGACTAACACCACCACCACCACCACCACCTACTCCTCCACCATCTCCACCTCCTCCTGCACCACCACCACCACCACCTACTCCTCCATCTCCACCACCACCACCACCTCCACCACCTACTCCACCATCTCCACCTCCTCCATCACCGCCTCCACCTCTTACACCTCCACCTACAACTCTACCACCTCCACCTCGTCTGCTAACACCACCTCCACCACCTCCACCACCACCAGCTACTCCATCTCCACCTCCTCCATCACCGCCACCTACTCCACCATCTCCACCTCCTCCATCTCTTACACCTCCACCTACAACTCTTCCACCTCGTCTACTAACACCTCCTCCTCCACCACCACCACCACCACCTACTCCACCATCTCCACCACCACCACCTCCACCACCACCACCTACTCCTCCATCTCCACCTCCTCCACCAACTACTCCACCATCTCCACCTCCTCCTCCATCACCGCCTCCACCTCTTCCAACTCCCCCTCCACCACCGTCAACTCCACCGCCGCCTCCGCCAGGTGGGGTTGTGGGTACAGAGCGGGGGGGCTGTGGGTAGACAGTGGGGGGGTTGTGGGTAGTAGAGAGTGGGGGGTTGTTGTGGGTAGTAGAGAGTGGGGGGTTGTTGTGGCTAGTAGAGAGTGGGGGGTTGTTGTGGCTAGTAGAGAGATTCTGAGTGGCCCTGCCAGCGATGGCCCCACTTGCAGCGAGAGCTGCGTTGTTGTTATTGTTGGGACTTGGTGATGCTGCTGCTGATGCTGCTGATGATGATGCTGCTGCTGATGACGATGATGATGCTGCTGCTGATGACGATGATGATGATGTCGGGGCGGATGATGACGACGGCGAGGACGAGTTGGCCATCGCCGGAGACGGCGGAGCAGCTGCCACCTCTGGAGGGAATAGAAATCAACCGGCAGCAGGAGCAGTAGAAGTATCATCATCATCATCATCAGTAGTAGTAGTAGTATCATCAGTAGTAGTATCATCATCATCATCAGTAGTAGTATCATCATCATCAGTAGCAGCATCATCAGTAGTAGCATCATCAGTAGTAGTATCATCATCATCAGTAGTAGCATCATCAGTAGTATCATCATCATCAGTAGCAGCATCATCAGTAGTAGTATCATCATTAGTAGTATCACCATCATCAGTAGTAGTAGTATCATCAGTAGTAGAATCATCATCATCAGTAGTAGTATCATCATCATCATTAGTAGTATCATTATCATCATCATCAGTAGTATCATCATCAGTAGTAGTATCATCAGTAGTAGTATCATCATCATCAGTAGTATCATCATCAGTAGTATCATCATCATCAGTAGTAGAATCATCATCAGTCATAGTAGAATCATCATCATCAGTCGTAGTATCATCATCAGTAGTAGTATCATCATCATCATCAGTAGTAGTAGTAGTATCATCATCAGTAGTACCACACAGAGACGCACAGACTCAACACACAGACACCCACAGACTCACCACACAGAGACCCACAGACTCACCACACAGAGACCCATAGGCTCACCACACAGAGACCCACAGACTCACCACACAGAGACCCACAGACTCACTACACAGACACCCAGACTCACCACACAGAGACCCACAGACTCACCACACAGAGACCCACAGACTCACTACACAGACACCCACAGACTCACCACACAGACACCCACAGACTCACTACACAGACACCCACAGACTCACCACCACCACACTCACAGACTCACCACTACACAGAGACACACACAGAGACCCATAGACTCACCACACACTCACCACACAGACTCACCACACAGACACCCACAAACTCACCACAGAGAGACCCATAGACTCACCACCACCACACCCACAGACTCACCACACAGAGACACACACACAAACTCACCACACAGAGACCCACAGACTCACCACACAGAGACCCACAGACTCACCACACAGAGACCCATAGACTGACCACACAGACATCCAGACTAACCACCACACAGAGACACACACAGACACGCACAGACTCACCACCACACAGAAACACACACACCCGCAGACTCACCACCACACAAAGACACACACAGACACCCACAGACTCACCACCACACAGAGACACACACAGACACCCACAAACTCACCACCACACAGAGGCACACAAAGACACCCACAGACTCACCACCACACAGAGACACACACAGACACACACAGACTCACCACCACACAGAGACACACACAGAGACACAACAACAACAACCGCCATTCGCCACTAAGTGGTGGTGACGTCACCACGACGCTTGTGCCAGGCTATGTGCACCCTGAGGCCACGTGAAGTGTCGAACGCCCGCTGGCAGGAGGTCACGGGGCAGACCCAGGTGCCACGGGTCGACTGACTGAGATGACTGGCTGATGCACCATCTGTGCCCCCTACTGTGCCAACCTGCTGTGATTTAGCCACCCGGCGCTCCTCTCGTTGTTCTGAGCATCGCTCCTCCGCCCTCCGTTGTTGTTGGAGGGCGACTACCTCCAACTGCCCAGTAGCATCCTTCACGAGCCTCCTCCACAGAGGCCGATCTTGACACCGCTGGTACCAGTCATTGGCAAGTCCACTCAGCTCCACGTCCTCCCGTACCACATCACTCCATCTCTTCTCTAGCCCGTGCCGTGCCCACTTAGCCCCCTCAATCCGGCCGAAGAAAAGCTGTTTTGGCATGCGGTGGCTGGGCATGCGGGCTACATGACCCAGCCATCGCAGCCTTGCCCGCCTGAGGAGCTCACCGATGGGACCTTGCCCAGATCTTTCAAGGATTTGTGAGCTCCTCACACAATCCAGTCTGGTTAAACCCAGGATGGATCGTAGGCAGGCCAGCCTAAATGTTTCTAACCGGCGAAGATGTTCCATTAGGGGGGTCCACGTTTCGCAAGCGTAGAGAAGGGAGGGAATGACCGTGGCCGAGAAGACCTGAAGCTTAGTGCGGAGCGACAGACCAGGTAGCTTCAACACAGCGTTACGCAACCGATGAAAAGATATTGCCGCTCGACTGATTCGGAGTGAGACCTCTGCTGTTAAACTGGAGCCAGTCATAAGCACACTGCCCAGGTATGGGAAACTCTCCACTCTCTCCACAACTGCCCCATCACCGATTGGGGGTTGTGGGGGTGGAGTGTCCGATGGTACAAAATACCCAGGCTGGTGCTTAGTTTTGGTGGGGCTGATGCTAAGGCCCCACCTCTTAGTGGCACGCTCCAGTCTCAGCAGCAGAGTCTCCAACTCCTCCTCTGACTGAGCAGCTATTACCAAATCATCAGCATACATAACGTGGTTGAGCAATAGGGAGCCATCCCTTGACCGCACCCGGGCATCGATCAGCCTCCAATTATATCTGTACCATATGGAGATTCCCCCGGTACAGCTATTGAAGGCTTCACGAACTACGTGGTCAAAATAGATGTTAAATAATGTGGGAGCCAGAGGACATCCCTGTCGCACCCCAAGGTGTACAGGGAATGGCTCTGACTCCCGGCCACGTAGTTTTACCCGGGCCCGCTCACCATCATGAAGGTCCTTAATGATTGTGAGCAGACGGTCAGGGACTCCAAAAGCACGAAGAACGACCCAGAGCCCAGGCCTACTGATGGTATCATAGACCTTGACCAGGTCAATAAAGCAGAGATGTAGGTCTTGTTGGAATTCCCTACACCTCTGCGGTAGCAGACGGACAGAATATATGGCATCTGTGCAGGACCGCCCTTTCCTGAAACCGCATTGGGGCTCCGCAAGCCTCTCCTCAGTGTGCCTGGCAAGGCGATGTTGAATAATCCTTGCCAGGACCTTTCCCGGCACACTGAGGAGTGAGATGCCCCTGTAGTTGTTACAGTCTGTGCGGTCCCCCTTCTTAAAAAAAAAGGGGGACCACCAGGGCATCCTTCCAATCCTGCGGAACCCGTTCAGTGGTCCAGACTGTTGTTATGATGTCATATAGGGCAGTCTGTGCACAAACACTGCCCTCCCTCAGCATTTCGCTTGGGAGATCATCTCTGCCCGCTGCCTTTCCTGGTCTCAGACTCCGGATCGCCTTCAGTACTTCCTCAACAGATGGCACCTCAGCCAGCCACTCACACTCACAGGGGGTGACTTCTTCCAATATTTGAGGCACCGCAGCCTCAGCAGGGTCAACCTCACTTTGTGCCACGATGTTTTCCTGGCTGAGGGATTTTCCCTCCCCCAGGACCTCACAGAAATGCTCAGCAAATCTGCAAACCTGTTCCTGGGGGTCAGAGATTGGGTCACCGTTTTTTCCCCTAATGATGGTAATAGGTGTGGCGCTGCAGATTACTTTTTTGATGGAGTTAAATAGAGATTTGTGATCACGGGCCACTGAGGCAGACTCCATCTTCTCAGCAACCCGCGACCACCACCCATCCTTGCAGCGCCTCACGGCTCTCCGAACCTCCGAGCGAAGGCTGCGGTAAGCCTCCTCATTCTCTGACGTGGGATTCTGTAGCCGATGACAGTGGGCCTGTCGCTTTTTCTCAACCATCCTGAACACCTCCTCTGTCAGCCAGGGTCTCTGGGGAGGTCTGGACCGCGTACCCAAAGCAGCCATTGGCAGCTGCATGAGTCACAGTCCTAAACCTCGCCCATTTACCCTCGACATCAGGAGGAGTCGGGGACGATGCCAATCCCAGCCGCAAGCGATGATGAAATTCTCGCTTGCAACTTTCATCAGATAACTGAGACCAGGCCACTTTAGGTTGGAATGGGGTCCTGGGTGTACACCCACCACCGGAGTGGAAGAATGGCAGGCGCATCTTACAGATGACTAGTCGATGGTCAGAGGGCAGATCAGCTCCACGGTAGGTCCTGGTGTCAAGGACATGGGCTCGCATCCGCTGGTCCGTCACTATGTAGTCCAGCAGATGTTCTTGCTTGGACCCGGCATGCATCCATGATGTTGTGTGGATGCGCCGATGCCGGAAGAGCGTGTTGGTAATTACAAGCCCATGGGCTGCACAAAAATCTAGCAGCCTCCTACCATTGTTATTGAGCTGATCAGGCCCATGCCCTCCAATCACTCCAGACCAGGTGCCAGTATCATGACCAACTCGGGCATTGAAGTCACCCAACATGATGACTCTATCCCGAGGGGCCACTTTAGCCAGCACCTGTGACAGGAGGTCATAGAAGGCATCTGACTCATCGGCTTTGCCTGCATCCCTCCACGGATGTTCATCTTCGGTGGGGGCATAAGTAACCACGACCACCATTCCTCGCCTCCGGTTGATGGGAAGGCGAGCTCAAAGTAGCCTGGGGCTTACAGCTTCCCACACCTCACCGCCACGCTCCCACGCCCCCTTCATTCTTTTGTTCAAAAGAAGAGCCACACCCTGTTGTTTGGCAGTCTGCTGCCCCGAGTAGAGGACTGTCCACCCCTCATGGTGGCAGGAGCCAGAGCCAGTCCACCGGATCTCCTGAATGCCACACAGATCCAGGCGGTACTGGTCCAGCTTCAAAAGAAGAGCCACACCCTGTTGTTTGGCAGTCTGCTGCCCCGAGTAGAGGACTGTCCACCCCTCATGGTGGCAGGAGCCAGAGCCGGTCCACCGGATCTCCTGAATGCCACACAGATCCAGGCGGTACTGGTCCAGCTCCCGACAGAGGAGTGGCAGCCTCTCCTCCGCAGTGAGCGTTCGAACATTCCACGTGGCCACCCGTAGTGGATTTTCGTTGTTTCTGGAAGAGCCCCGAGGGTAGATATTCAATCTCCTGGCTCCGCCAATTGGGGTTTGGCCAGGAGACGTCATAAACGCCTGGCCCCCCGGGGCCTCCGGCACAAGCTTATTAGTTACATATTTCAGTTTAACTCGTGGTTTAGTGGTAATTAATTGAAGGTGGAGGGGTTACCAGCCCCTCACACCCGTCCAGAGCCCCCATTTAGCCCCTGTGGTGGACACATATGCCATGAGGGGAGGAGCCAATCAAAATTGGACCTCCCCCCACAGCACTGTCCACGACAGAGTTGCCCGTCCGGCACCGCGAGGAGGTGGGGGGTTGTTTTGCCGGACACACACACAGAGACACACACACAGACGCACAACCACACAGACACACACAGAGACACACAGACTCACCACCACACAGAGACACACACAGACTCACCACACAGACTCACCACCACACAGACTCACCACCACACAGACACATACACACACAGACTCACCACCACACAGAGACACACACAGACTCACCACACAGACTCACCACCACACAGACACACACAGAGACACACAGACACACACACAGACTCACCACCACACAGAGACACACACAGACTCACCACACAGACTCACCACCACACAGACTCACCACCACACAGACACATACACACACAGACTCATCACCACACAGAGACACACACAGACTCACCACACAGACTCACCACCACACAGACTCACCACCACACAGACACACACACACACAGACTCACCACCACACAGAGACACACACAGACTCACCACACAGACTCACCACCACACAGACACACACAGAGACACACAGACACACACACAGACTCACCACCACACAGACTCACCTCCTTCGCCAACGGCGACGCTCGCATCCAGCACACAACGTCCGCTCGGATTCCCAACGTCTCTGTCGCCGCCACCACCACCGCCACCACCGCCACCACCGCCACCACCACCACCACCACCACCGGACGTCAACAGCGGCTCGGCAGACGTCTGCGATGAAGCGACGGAGCGAACGCTCAGCTTCCTGCCCAGCTCGGGGAGCCTGGGCATACGTAGGGAGATCTTGCGGCTGACGCGCGGCGACTTGGCTCGAGTGGCGGTGGCGGTGGTGGCGGTGGTGGCGGTGGTGGTGGCGGTGGTGGTGGCGGTTGTTGTTGTTGATGTTGTTGTTGTTGTCGGATTCGCTCTGCGGTAAAAGCCGGGGCTCGTGGGCGGAGATGCGCGGTCTGTGGACGGGGTGGTGGAGGGTTGTGGGTAGAGAGTGGGGGGGGGGGGGGGGGTTGTGGGTAGAGTGGAGTGGGGGGTTGTGGGTAGAGAGTGGGGGGGGGGTTGTGGGTAGAGAGTGGGGGGGGGTTGTGGGTAGAGTGGAGTGGGGGGTTGTGGGTAGAGTGTGGGCGGGGGGGTTGTGGGAACAGAGGTCGGGGGTTGTGGGTAGAGAGGAGTGGGGGGTTGTGGGTAGAGAGTGGGGGGTTGTGGGTAGAGAGTGGGAGGTTGTGGGTAGAGAGTGGGGGGTTGTGGGTAGAGAGTGGGGGGGGGGTTGTGGGTAGAGAGTGGGGGGGGGGTTGTGGGTAGAGAGTGGGGGGTTGTGGGTAGAGAGTGGGGGGTTGTGGGTAGAGAGGAGTGGGGGGTTGTGGGTAGAGAGTCGGGGGTTGTGGGTAGAGAGGGGGGGGGGATTGTGGGTAGAGAGTGGGGGGTTGTGGGTAAAGAGTGGGGGGGGTTGTGGGTAGAGAGGAGTGGGGGGTTGTGGGTAGAGAGTGGGGGGGGATTGTGGGTAGAGAGTGGGGGTTGTGGGTAGAGAGTGGGGGGGGTTGTGGGTAGAGTGGAGTGGGGGATTGTGGGTAGAGAGTGGGGGTTGTGGGTAGAGAGTGGGGGGGGATTGTGGGTAGAGAGTGGGGGTTGTGGGTAGAGAGTGGGGGGGGTTGTGGGTAGAGTGGAGTGGGGGATTGTGGGTAGAGAGTGGGGGGGGGTTGTGGGTAAAGAGGAGTGGGGGTTGTGGGTAGAGTGGAGTGGGGGGTTGTGGGTAGAGAGTGGGGGGTTGTGGGTAGAGAAGAGTGGGGGGTTGTGGGAACAGAGAAGTGGGGGATTGTGGGTAGAGAGTCGGGGATTGTGGGTAGAGAGGAGTGGGGGGTTGTGGGTAGAGAGGAGGAGGGGGTTGTGGGTAGAGAGGAGTGGGGGGTTGTGGGTAGAGTGGAGTGGGGGGTTGTGGGTAGAGAGTGGGCGGGGGGGTTGTGGGTAGAGAGGAGTGGGGGGTTGTTGGTAGAGTGGAGTGGGGGGTTGTGGGTAGAGTGTCGGGGATTGTGGGTAGAGAGGAGTGGGCGGGTTGTGGGTAGAGAGTGGGGGGGTTGTGGGTAGAGGAGTGGGGGGTTGTGGGTAGAGAGTGGGGGGGGGTTGTGGGTAAAGTGGAGTGGGGGGTTGTGGGTAGAGTGGAGTGGGGGGTTGTGGGTAGAGAGTGGGGGGTTGTGGGTAAAGTGGAGTGGGGGGTTGTGGGTAGAGTGGAGTGGGGGGTTGTGGGTAGAGAGTGGGGGGTTGTGGGTAGAGTGGAGTGGGGGGTTGTGGGTAGAGAGTGGGGGGTTGTGGGTAGAGAGTGGGCGGGTTGTGGGTAGAGAGGGTGGGGGGATTGTGGGTAGAGAGAGGGGGGTGGGGGGCATTGTGGGTAGACGGAACTGGGTGTTAGCACTGCACGCAACGGCCGCGGTGATGAACGCCCGTGACGGGTGGGTGGCTGTGAAATGTGTTAAGTGCGGGCGGCGTATCGTAGGAAGTAACGTGGAACACAGCGTCAGTGTGGAACACAGTGCCAGTGTGAACACAGTGTCAGTGTGACGTGGAACACAGCGTGAGTGTGAACACAGCGTGAGTGTGACATGGAACACAGCGTGAGTGTGAACACAGCGTGAGTGTGAACACAGCGTGAGTGTGACGTGGAACACAGCGTGAGTGTGAACACAGCGTGAGTGTGAACACAGCGTGAGTGTGACGTGGAACACAGCGTCAGTGTGAACACAGCGTGAGTGTGAACACAGTGCCAGTGTGAACACAGCGTGAGTGTGAACACAGTGCCAGTGTGAACACAGCGTGAGTGTGAACACACCGTCAGTGTGAACACAGCGTCAGTGTGAACACACCGTCAGTGTGAACACAGTGTCAGTGTGAACACAGTGTCAGTGTGAACACAGCGTCAGTGTGAACACAGCGTCAGTGTGAACACAGCGTGAGTGTGAACACAGTGTCAGTGTGAACACAGTGTCAGTGTGAACACAGTGTCAGTGTGAACACAGCGTCAGTGTGAACACAGCGTCAGTGTGAACACAGCGTGAGTGTGACGTGGAACACAGCGTCAGTGTGAACACACCGTCAGTGTGAACACACCGTCAGTGTGAACACACCGTCAGTGTGAACACAGCGTGAGTGTGAACACAGCGTCAGTGTGAACACAGCGTGAGTGTGACATGGAACACAGCGTCAGTGTGAACACACCGTGAGTGTGAACACAGCGTGAGTGTGACGTGGAACAGTGTCAGTGTGAACACAGTGTCAGTGTGAACACACCGTGAGTGTGAACACAGCGTGAGTGTGACGTGGAACACAGCGTCAGTGTGAACACAGCGTGAGTGTGAACACAGCGCCAGTGTGAACACAGCGTGAGTGTGAACACAGCGCCAGTGTGAACACAGCGTGAGTGTGACGTGGAACACAGCGTGAGTGTGAACACAGCGTGAGTGTGACGTGGAACACAGTGTCAGTGTGAACACAACGTCAGTGTGAACAGTGTCAGTGTGAACACAGTGTCAGTGTGAACACAGTGTCAGTGTGAACACAGCGTGAGTGTGAACACAGTGTCAGTGTGAACACAGCGTCAGTGTGAACACAGCGTGAGTGTGAACACAGTGTCAGTGTAAACACACCGTCAGAGTGAACACAGTGTCAGTGTGAACACACCGTCAGTGTGAACACAGCGTGAGTGTGAACACAGCGTCAGTGTGAACACAGCGTGAGTGTGAACACAGCGTGAGTGTGAACACAGCGTGAGTGTGAACACAGCGTGAGTGTGAACACAGCGTGAGTGTGACGTGGAACACAGTGTCAGTGTGAACACAGCGTGAGTGTGAACACAGCGTGAGTGTGAACACAGCGTGAGTGTGAACACACCGTGAGTGTGACGTGGAACACAGCGTCAGTGTGAACACAGCGTCAGTGTGAACACAGCATCAGTGTGAACAGAGTGTCAGTGTGAACACAGTGTCAGTGTGAACACACCGTCAGTGTGAACACAGCGTCAGTGTGAACACACCGTCAGTGTGAACACAGTGTGAGTGTGACGTGGAACACACCGTGAGTGTGAACACAGCGTCAGTGTGAACACAGCGTGAGTGTGACATGGAACACAGCGTGAGTGTGAACACAGCGTGAGTGTGAACACAGCATCAGTGTGAACACAGTGTCAGTGTGAACACAGTGTCAGTGTGAACACAGTGTCAGTGTGAACACAGTGTCAGTGTGAACACAGTGTCAGTGTGAACACAGCGTCAGTGTGAACACAGCGTGAGTGTGACGTGGAACACAGTGTCAGTGTGAACACACCGTCAGTGTGAACACACCGTGAGTGTGAACACACCGTCAGTGTGAACACAGTGTCAGTGTGAACACACCGTCAGTGTGAACACACCGTCAGTGTGAACACACCGTCAGTGTGAACACACTGTGAGTGTGAACACACCGTGAGTGTGAACACAGCGTGAGTGTGAACACAGCGTGAGTGTGAATACACCGTGAGTGTGAACACAGCGTCAGTGTGAACACAGTGTCAGTGTGAACACAGTGTCAGTGTGAACACAGTGTCAGTGTGAACACAGTGTCAGTGTGAACACAGCGTCAGTGTGAACACAGCGTGAGTGTGACGTGGAACACAGTGTCAGTGTGAACACACCGTCAGTGTGAACACACCGTGAGTGTGAACACACCGTCAGTGTGAACACAGTGTCAGTGTGAACACACCGTCAGTGTGAACACACCGTGAGTGTGAACACACCGTCAGTGTGAACACACCGTCAGTGTGAACACAGCGTGAGTGTGAACACACCGTGAGTGTGAACACACCGTCAGTGTGAACACACCGTCAGTGTGAACACACTGTGAGTGTGAACACACCGTGAGTGTGAACACACCGTGAGTGTGAACACACCGTCAGTGTTACGTGAAACACACCGTCAATGCAAACACAACAAACACACAGTATAATATATTGGCGTTGTCCTTGAACACTGCACAAATGATCATAGTATGTGTTTTTTGTTTGCACTTTGACTGCAGGTATTGTGGTTAATGCGGTAAACATGAATCCTTGTGAAAAAAAAAAACAGGTTTCAGTATTGTTGCCAGAAAAAAGGGGAGAAAAACCCCACCACCACCATCATTATTATTATTACTACTACAAGTTAAATTTCGATTCACCTGATGAAGGCCGCTTGTGTTGTGGCCGAAACGTCGTGAGAATATTAACGCGTTAATTTTATTCTATCAATTTGTTACTTTACTCTCATTCTACGTGGTGGTGACTTCACCGAAAGAACCAAAGAAGGCTACTGCAAGTTGCAAGAAAAAAAAAGAAGTCGTCGCGTAGGGGCACCGTTGGTCGCCTCTCCCGAGGGCACCGTCGTTCCCAAGGACCCCGGAGGCTCCGTCTCCGGGATGGGGTTGTACCAGATCTCCGCCTCGTCTACCGGTGGCACCGCCGCCGTCCCCGGCGATGTCGCCGGCTCGCCAAAGTCTCCACCCGCCTCCTCCTCCTCCCGCTCCTCCCCCGGGGAGAGACGGGACGTGGGAGACGCCGGAGGAGGGGAGGCTGGAGGTGGTGGTGGTGGTGATAGTCGTGGCGATGGTGGCGATGCTGGAGGTGGTGGTGGTGATAGTCGTGGCGATGGTGGCGATGCTGGAGGTGGTGGTGGTGGTGGCGGTGATAGTCGTGGCGATGGTGGCGGAGGTGTTGGTGGTGGTGGTGATAGTCGTGGCGATGGTGGCGATGCTGGAGGTGGTGGTGGTGGTGGTGATAGTCGTGGCGATGGTGGGGATGCTGGTGGTGGTGATAGTCGTGGCGATGGTGGCGACGCTGGAGGTGGTGGTGGAGGTGGTGGTGGTGGTGGTGATAGTCGTGGCGATGGTGGCGATGCTGGAGGTGGTGGTGGAGGTGGTGGTGGTGATAGTCGTGGCGATGGTGGCGACGCTGGTGATGGTGGTGGCGACGGCATCATCGTCGTCGTCGTCATCATCATCCGCCGCCGCTGTTGCAGAGAGCAGGACGACGATTTGACGGCAGACGTTGACGATGCTGATGCTGTCGTTGTTGTCGCTGTTGTTGTTGACGATGTTGTTGTTGATGTTGTTGTTGATGTTGTTGTTGTTGATGATGACGACGGAGGAGGTGGCGGCGGTGGCGACGACGTTCTGGCGGAAAGGCCCAGGGAGGGGGGCAATGTAGCGGACGATGTGGGCGACGAGGTGAACGGACGCGGAGCCTGTGGTGAGATGACGCGGTGGTGGTGGTGGTGGTGGCGGTCGTGGTGGCGGTGGCGGTCGTGGTCGTGGTGGCGGTTGCCGGATGCCGACAACGACACGGAGGAGGAAGCCGGCAACGTTGCAGAGGTCCGGCAGGCAGCGTGCCGCTGTACGGGAGGTGGCGGCTGTTGTTGTTGTGGTTGTTGTTGTTGTTGTTGTCGTGGCCGAGAGCCCGGTGAAGTAGCCGAGGAGAAGATGGCCGAAGCGCTGGACGGGTGCCCAGCCAGCGGGGAAGGTGAGGGAGGAGGTGTGGTGGTGGCGGTGGTGGTGGCGGTGGTGGTGGCGGTGGTGGTGGCGGTGGTGGTGGCGTGGTGGAGGTGGTGACGCTCCTCTGGGTCTGGAGGGGGAGACGGGGAGAGAGACACGGGGGGGAGAGACACGGGGAGAGACACGGGACGGTTAGGGGAGAGACACGGGGAGAGACACGGGGACAGAGACACGGGACGGTTAGGGGAGAGACACGGGGAGAGACACAGGGAGAGACACGGGGAGAGACACGGGGAGAGACACGGGGAGAGACACAGGGAGAGACACGGGGAGAGACACGGGACGGTTAGGGGAGAGACACGGGGAGAGACACGGGGACAGACACGGGGACAGAGACACGGGGAGAGACACGGGGAGAGACACGGGGAGAGACACGGGGAGAGACACGGGACGGTTAGGGGAGAGACACGGGGAGAGACACGGGGACAGACACGGGGACAGAGACACGGGGAGAGACACGGGGAGAGACACGGGGACAGACACGGGGACAGAGACACGGGGAGAGACACGGGGAGAGACACGGGACGGTTAGGGGAGAGACACGGGGAGAGACACGGGGACAGACACGGGGACAGAGACACGGGGAGAGACACGGGGAGAGACACGGGGAGAGACACGGGGAGAGACACGGGACGGTTAGGGGAGAGACACGGGGAGAGACACGGGGACAGACACGGGGAGAGACACGGGGAGAGACACGGGGAGAGACAAGGGGAGAGACACGGGACGGTTAGGGGAGAGACACGGGGAGAGACACGGGACGGTTAGGGGAGAGACACGGGGACAGAGAGACACGGGGACAGACACGGGGACAGAGACACGGGGAGAGACACGGGGAGAGACACGGGACGGTTAGGGGAGAGACACGGGGAGAGACACTGGGACAGACATGGGGAGAGACACGGGGAGAGACACGGGACGGTTAGGGGAGAGACACGGGGAGAGACACGGGACGGTTAGGGGAGAGACACGGGACGGTTAGGGAGAGACACGGGGAGAGACACGGGACGGTTAGGGGAGAGACACGGGGAGAGACACGGGGACAGAGAGACACGAGGACAGAGAGACACGGGGACAGAGAGACACGGGGGTTAAATGAAGGGGTCACGATTGACGGTGAATCTCAACAGGGGGTGCGCGCCTCTCACCTGCGACTTTAATCAGAGCGAGGTGGAATTCACCCCGGCTCACTCACCTCCGGGCTGAGCAGCGAGCTCCGAGCTGGGGCCCACGTTGATGACCCGCACCCCCAGCTCCGCGCTGGGGCCAGACGCCGCTCGCTCCGAGCTGGGGCCCACGTTGACGACCCGCGGCCCCAGCTCCGCGCTGGGGCCAGACGCCGCTCGCTCCGCGCTGGGGCCCACGTTGACGGCCCGCGTCCCCAGCTCCGCGCTGGGGCCCTTGTCAATAGTTCGGGCCTCCAGCTCCGCGCTGGGGCCCACGTTGACGGCCCGGTTCCCCAGCTCCGCGCTGGGGCCAATGTTAATAGTCCGGGCCTCCAGCTCCGCGCTGGGGCCCTCTGTGTGCCTACCTGCCCTGCTGTTGCCACAACTACCACCACTGCTACCACCACCACTACCACCACAACCACCACCACTACTACAACCGCTACCACCACGACCACCGCTACCATTGCGACCACCGCTACAACCACAGCTACCACTACCACCGCCACTACCACCGCCACCGCCACTACCACCGCCACTACCACTACGACTACAGCTACCATTGCCGCTACCACTACAACCACAGCTACCACTACCACCACGACTACCACTACCACCGCCACTACCACTACAACCACAGCTACCACTACCACCGCGACTACCACTACCACCGCCACTACCACTACAACCACAGCTACCACTACCACCACGACTACCACAACCACCGCCACTACCACTACGACTACAGCTACCATTGCCGCTAGCACTACAACCACAGCTACCACTACCACCACGACTACCACCGCCACGACCACAACCACCGCCACTACACCCACAGCTACCACTACCACCACGACTACCACAACCACCGCCACTACCACCACGACTACCACAACCACCGCCACTACACCCACGACTACCACAACCACCGCCACTACCACCGCGACTACCACAACCACCGCCACTACACCCACGACTACCACCGCCACTACACCCACGACAACCACCGCCACCACACCCACGACTACCACAACCACCTCCACCGCCGCTAGCGCCACAACCACGGCCGCTGCCGCCGCCGCCGCCGCGGGCGAACCCGCCGATGTCGGACGAAGCGAGCAGGAAGTTGAAGGCCTCCTCCAGCTGCCAGTGGAGGCAGCGGCTGGCGCCCGGCGATGGTACGGGCGGCGTGGAGACCCCGCAGGGCGAGGCCGGAGGGAGGCCGCCGCCACAGCCGCCGCCGCGAAGTGACGTCGCCTCCTCCTCCTCCTCCTCCTCCTCCTCCGTCTCGTCCTCCTCGTCCACGTCGTCCGCCTCGTCCGCGGTCGTCGTCGTCGCCGCCGCCGCCAAAGCCGCTGTCATCGCGGGGTTCTGGAGTCAGAGGCGTCAACGGCAGCGGGCGGTGACGTTGTGGCGTGACGACGCCGCCGCTGCTGCTCATGTCGCCACCACCACCACCACTACCACCACCACCACCACCACTACCACCACCACCACCACCACCACTACCACCACCACCACCACCACTACCACCACTACCACCACTAACACCACTACCACCACTAACACCACCACTACCACTACCACCACTACCACCACTAACACCACCACTACCACTACCACCACCAATACCACCACCACTACCACCACTACCGCTACCGCTACCACCACCACCACTACCGCCACCACCACCACTACCACCACTACCACCACCACTACCACCACTACCGCTACCGCTACCACCACCACCACCACTACCGCCACCACCACCACCACTACCACCACAACCACTACCACCACCACCACTACCGCTACCGCTACCACCACTACTACCACCACCACTACCACCTCATCTGCCACCACCACTACCACCACCACTACTACCACCACTACCACCACCACCACTACCACCACCACCACTACCACCTCATCTGCCACTACCACCACCACTACTACATCTGCCACCACCACCACTACCACCTCCACCACTACCACCACCACACCACCACCACTACCACCTCCACCACCACCACCACACCACCACCACACCACCACCACTACCACCACCACCACCACACCACCACCACTACTACCACATCTACCACCACCACTACCACCACCACTACCACCACTACCACACTCCCACCACTACCACCTCTACCACAACCATCACCTCTACCACTACCACCACTACCATCACCTCCACCACGACCACCACTACCACTACCACACCATCACCTCAACCACTACCACCACTATTCACTACCAGTACCAACACGACTACCTCTAAAACCACGACCACCAATTCCACCACTACCACACTTCCACCACTACCACCACCACCACTACCGCCACAACCATCTCCACTACCACCACCACTATCACTACTACAACCACCACCACCTCCACCACCACCTCCACCACTACTACCACCACCACTACTACAACCACAACGACCACAACCATCTCCACTACCACCACCACTACTACAACCAGTACTACCACACCACCAGCACTTCCACCACTACCACCACCACCTCCACCACTACTACAACCACCACCACCACTACAACCACCACCACCACTACTACAACCACCACCTCCACCACTACAACCACCACAACCATCTCCACCACTACTACAACCACCACAACCATCTCCACCACTACTACAACCACCACCTCCACCACTACTACAACCACCACCACCACTACAACCACCACCACCACTACTACAACCACCACCTCCACCACTACAACCACCACAACCATCTCCACCACTACTACAACCACCACCACTATCACCACCACTACCACCACTACTACCACCACCACCACTACCGCTACCGCTACCACTACCACCACTACTACCACCACCACTACCACCACTCATCTGCCACCACCACTACCACCACTACTACATCTGCCACCACCACCACTACCACCTCCACCACTATCACCACCACACCACCACCACCACTACCACCTCCACCACCACCACCACACCACCACCACTACTACCACATCTACCACCACCACTACCACCACCACTACCACCACTACCACACTCCCACCACTACCACCTCTACCACAACCATCACCTCTACCACTACCACCACTACCATCACCTCCACCACGACCACCACTACCACACCATCACCTCAACCACTACCACCACCACCACTATTCACTACCAGTACCAACACGACTACCTCTAAAACCACGACCACCAATTCCACCACTACCACACTACCACCACTACCACACCACCAGCACTTCCACCACTACCAACACCACCACTACCACAACCGCCACAACCATCTCCACTACCACCACCACTATCACTACTACAACCACCACCACCACTACTACCACCACCACCACTACTACAACCACCACGACCACAACCATCTCCACTACCACCACCACTACTACAACCAGTACTACCACACCACCAGCACTTCCACCACTACCACCACCAGCACTTCCACCACTACCACCACCAACCACCATCTCCACCACTACTATAACCACCACCTCCACCACTACTACAACCACCACCACCTCCACTACTACAACCACCACCACCTCCACCACTACTACAACCACCACCTCCACCACTACTACAACCACCACCTCCACCACTACTACAACCACCACCTCCACTACTACAACCACCACCTCCACCACTACTACAACCACCACCACCTCCACCACTACAACCACCACCACCACTACTACAACCACCACCTCCACCACTACTACAACCACCACCACCTCCACTACTACAACCACCACCTCCACCACTACTACAACCACCACCTCCACCACTACTACAACCACCACCACCGCCACTACCACCACCACCTCCACCCACCGCCACAACAACCACCACCACCACCTCCACCCACCACAACCACCTCCACCACAACAACAATCACCACCACCACCCTCTCACCTCGCCATTCCAATCTCCACCTCGCGGCGATTCCGCGCCCACCCGCGAGCCGCCACCGCCCGCGGAATCCAGGCAAGCGCGGGGGGCCCGAGTGTGAGCCCGGGGCCTAGTGGCGTCCCGCGGCGTTCCAGCGGCGGCACCGCCCGCCGCCGCCGCCCCCGAGCGAGCGCGCTCGGCGGCGGGATCCAGGCAAGCCCCGGGGGCCCGAGTGTGAGCTCGGGGCCTAGTGGCGTCCGGCGGCGTTCCAGCGGAGGCATCGCCCGCCGCCGACGCCGCCGCCGCCGAGTGACAGCGCTCGGCGGCGGGATCCAGGCAAGCCCCGGGGGCCCGAGTGTGAGCTCGGGGCCTAGTGGCGTCCGGCGGCGTTCCAGCGGCGGCATCGCCTCCGCTGCCCTCTCCTCGTTCGTGACGATCTCCAGGCGCGGCAGCTGCTCCTGCTGCTGCTGCTGAGGGTGGTGGTGGTCGTGCAGCAGCAGCTGGAGGAGGAGGAGGAGGAGAATCTTTGCGTCGAACTTTTCTCAGGCGCGCCAAAGTTCGCCTGAGGGGATCGTTCATAGCGCCGCGGGGAGATGCGAAGGGGACGTGGGGAGAGACAAAGACGGCCTCGAGGTGGTGCTGGTGGGGAGAGACAAAGACGGCCTGGAGGTGGTGCTGGTGAGGAGAGACAAAGGCGGCCTCGAGGTGGTGGTGGTGGTTGAGGCGGTTGAGGGGGTGGCCGCAGCCATTGGACTCGGGCGCATTCCTCGAATTCCTCCACCCCCCTCTCTACCCCCACCTCTATCCCCTCTACCCCTCTACCCCCCCTCTACCCCTCCCCTCTACCCCCCTCTACCCCTCCCTCTATCCCTCTACCCCCCCTCTACCCCCACCTCTACCCCTCTACCCCCCTCTACCCCTCCCTACCCCCCCTCTACCCCCCCTCTACCCCCCTCTATCCCTCTACCCCCCCTACCCCCACCCCTCTAACCCCCCCTCTACCCCCCCTCTATCCCTCTACCCCCACCCCTCTACCCCCTCTACCCCCCCCTCTACCCCCCCTCTACCCCCCCCTCTACCCCCCTACCCCACCCCTCTATCCCTCTACCCCCCCCCTCTACCCCCCCTACCCCCAGCTCTATCCCTCTACCCACCCTACCCCCACCCCTCTATCCCTCTACCCCCCTCTACCCCTCCCTACCCCCCCCCCTCTACCCCCCTCTATCCCTCTACCCCCCCTACCCCCACCCCTCTACCCCCTCCCCCTCTACCCCCCCTCTACCCCACCCCTCTATCCCTCTATCCCCACCTCTATACCCCTCTACCCATCCCCTCTACCCCCCCTCTATCCCTCTACCCCCCCCCTATCCCTCTACCCCCCTCTACCCCCCCCCTCTATCCCTCTACCCCCCTCTACCCCCCCCTCTATCCCTCTACCCCCCCCTATCCCTCTACCCCCCCTATCCCTCAACCCCCCCCATCCCTCTACCCCCCTCTACCCCCCCCTATCCCTCTACCCCCCCCCCAATCCCTCTACCCTCCTCTACCCCCCCCCTCTATCCCTCTACCCCCCCTCTATCCCTCTACCCCCCTCTACCCCCCCCTCTACCCCTCTCTACCCCCCCCCCCATCCCTCTACCCCCCTCTACCCCCCCCTCCTCCTCCCTCTACCCCCTTCTCTGCGGCATTCAGGAGGTCCGGTGGACTGGTTCTAGTATGAGTGTGTGTGGAGGAGAGGCTGCCACTGCTCTGTCTGGAGCTGGACCGGTACCGCCTGGATCTCTGCGGTATTCAGAAAGTCCGGTGGACTGGTTCTAGTATGAGTGTGTGTGGAGGAGAGGCTGCCACTAGTCTGTCTGGAGCTGGACTGGTACCGTCTGGATCTCTGCGGCATTCAGGAGGTCCAATGGACTGGTTCTAGTATGAGTGTGTGGAGGAGAGGCTGCCACTGCTCTGTCTGGAGCTGGACTGGTACCGCCTGGATCTCTGCGACATTCAGGAGGTCCGGTGGACTGGATCTAGTATGAGTGTGTGTGGAGGAGAGGCTGCCACTCGTCTGTCTGGAGCTGGATCGGTACCACCTGGATCTCTGCGGCATTCAGGAGGTCCAGTGGACTGGTTCTAGTATGAGTGTGTGTGGAGGAGAGGCTGCCACTAGTCGGTCTGGAGCTGGACCGGTACTGTCTGGATCTCTGCGGCATTCAGGAGGTCCGGTGCACTGGTTCTAGTATGAGTGTGTGTGGAGGAGAGGCTGCCACTGCTCTGTCTGGAGCTTGACCGGTACCGCCTAGATCTCTGCGGCATTCAGGAGGTCCGGTGGACTGGTTCTAGTATGAGTGTGTGTGGAGGAGAGGCTGCCACTCGTCTGTCTGGAGCTGGACCGGTACCGCCTGGATCTCTGCGCTATTCAGGAGGTCCGGTGGACTGGTTCTAGTATGAGTGTGTGTGGAGGAGAGGCTGCCACTGCTCTGTCTGGAGCTTGACCGGTACCGCCTAGATCTCTGCGGCATTCAGGAGGTCCGGTGGACTGGTTCTAGTATGAGTGTGTGTGGAGGAGAGGCTGCCACTCGTCTGTCTGGAGCTGGACCGGTACCGCCTGGATCTCTGCGGCATTCAGGAGGTCCGGTGCACTGGTTCTAGTATGAGTGTGTGTGGAGGAGAGGCTGCCACTCGTCTGTCTGGAGCTGGACCGGTACCGGATGGATCTCTGCGGCATTCAGGAGCTCCGGTGGACTGGTTCTAGTATGAGTGTGTGTGGAGGAGAGGCTGCCACTCGTCTGTCTGGAGCTGGACCGGTACCGCCTGGATCTCTGCGCTATTCAGGAGGTCCGGTGGACTGGATCTAGTATGAGTGTGTGTGGAGGAGAGGCTGCCACTGCTCTGTCTGGAGCTGGACCGGTACCGCATGGATCTCTGCGGCATTCAGGAGGTCCAATGGACTGGTTCTAGTATGTGTGTGTGTGGAGGAGAGGCTGCCACTCGTCTGTCTGGAGCTGGACCGGTACCGCCTGGATCTCTGCGGCATTCAGGAGGTCCGGTGCACTGGTTCTAGTATGAGTGTGTGTGGAGGAGAGGCTGCCACTCGTCTGTCTGGAGCTGGACCGGTACCGGATGGATCTCTGCGGCATTCAGGAGCTCCGGTGGACTGGATCTAGTATGAGTGTGTGTGGAGGAGAGGCTGCCACTGCTCTGTCTGGAGCTGGAGCGGTACCGCCTGGATCTCTGCGGCATTCAGGAGGTCCGGTGGACTGGTTCTAGTATGAGTGTGTGTGGAGGAGAGGCTGCCACTGCTCTGTCTGGAGCTTGACCGGTACCGCCTAGATCTCTGCGGCATTCAGGAGGTCCGGTGGACTGGTTCTAGTATGAGTGTGTGTGGAGGAGAGGCTGCCACTCGTCTGTCTGGAGCTGGACCGGTACCGCCTGGATCTCTGCGCTATTCAGGAGGTCCGGTGGACTGGTTCTAGTATGAGTGTGTGTGGAGGAGAGGCTGCCACTGCTCTGTCTGGAGCTTGACCGGTACCGCCTAGATCTCTGCGGCATTCAGGAGGTCCGGTGGACTGGTTCTAGTATGAGTGTGTGTGGAGGAGAGGCTGCCACTCGTCTGTCTGGAGCTGGACCGGTACCGCCTGGATCTCTGCGGCATTCAGGAGGTCCGGTGCACTGGTTCTAGTATGAGTGTGTGTGGAGGAGAGGCTGCCACTCGTCTGTCTGGAGCTGGACCGGTACCGGCTGGATCTCTGCGGCATTCAGGAGCTCCGGTGGACTGGTTCTAGTATGAGTGTGTGTGGAGGAGAGGCTGCCACTCGTCTGTCTGGAGCTGGACCGGTACCGCCTGGATCTCTGCGCTATTCAGGAGGTCCGGTGGACTGGATCTAGTATGAGTGTGTGTGGAGGAGAGGCTGCCACTGCTCTGTCCTGGAGCTGGACCGGTACCGCATGGATCTCTGCGGCATTCAGGAGGTCCAATGGACTGGTTCTAGTATGTGTGTGTGTGGAGGAGAGGCTGCCACTCGTCTGTCTGGAGCTGGACCGGTACCGCCTGGATCTCTGCGGCATTCAGGAGGTCCGGTGCACTGGTTCTAGTATGAGTGTGTGTGGAGGAGAGGCTGCCACTCGTCTGTCTGGAGCTGGACCGGTACCGGATGGATCTCTGCGGCATTCAGGAGCTCCGGTGGACTGGTTCTAGTATGAGTGTGTGGAGGAGAGGCTGCCACTGCTCTGTCTGGCGCTTGACCGGTACCGCCTCGATCTCTGCGGCATTCAGGAGGTCCGGTGGACTGGTTCTAGTATGAGTGTGTGTGGAGGAGAAGCTGCCACTCGTCTGTCTGGAGCTGGACCGGTACTGCCTGGATCTCTGCGCTATTCAGGAGGTCCGGTAGACTGGTTCTAGTATGAGTGTGTGTGGAGGAGAGGCTGCCACTCGTCTGTCTGGAGCTGGACCGGTACCACCTGGATTTCTGCGCTATTCAGAAGGTCCGGTGGACTGGTTCTAGTATGAGTGTGTGTGGAGGAGAGGCTGCCACTCATCTGTCTGGAGCTGGACCGGTACCGCCTGGATCTCTGCGATATTCGAGAGGTCCGGTGGACTGGTTCTAGTATGAGTGTGTGTGGAGGAGAGACTGCCACTCGTCTGTCTGGAGCTGGACCGGTACCGCCTGGATATCTGCGGTATTCAGGAGGTCCGGTGGACTGGTTCTAGTATGAGTGTGTGTGGAGGAGAGGCTGCCACTCGTCTGTCTGGAGCTGGACCGGTACCGCCTGGATCTCTGCGGCATTCAGGAGGTCCGGTGGACTGGTTCTAGTATGAGTGTGTGTGGAGGAGAGGCTGCCACTCATCTGTCTGGAGCTGGACCGGTACCGCCTGGATCTCTGCGGCATTCAGGAGGTCCGATGGACTGGTTCTAGTATGAGAGTGTGTGGAGGAGAGGCTGCAACTCGTCTGTCTGGAGCTGGACCGGTACCGCCTGGATCTCTGCGGCATTCAGGAGGTCCGGTGGACTGGTTCTAGTATGAGTGTGTGTGGATTAGAGGCTGCCACTGCTCTGTCTGGAGCTGGACCGGTACCGCCTGGATCTCTGCGGTATTCAGGAGGTCCGGTGGACTGGTTCTAGTATGAGTGTGTGTGGAGGAGAGGCTGCCACTCGTCTGTCTGGAGCTGGACCGGTACCGGCTGGATCTCTGCGGCATTCAGGAGGCCCGGTGGACTGGTTCTAGTATGAGTGTGTGTGGAGGAGAGGCTGCCACTCGTCTGTCTGGAGCTGAACCGGTACCGCCTGGATATCTGCGGCATTCAGGAGGTCCGGTGGACTGGTTCTAGTATGAGTGTGTGTGGAGGAGAGGCTGCCACTGCTCTGTCTGGAACTGGACCGGTACCGCCTGGGTCTCTGCGGTATTCAGGAGGTCCGGTGGACCGGTTCTAGTATGAGTGTGTGTGGAGGAGAGGCTGCAACTCGTCTGTCTGGAGCTGGACCGGTACCGCCTGGATCTCTGCGGCATTCAGGAGGTCCGATGGACTGGTTCTAGTATGAGCGTGTGTGGAGGAGAGGCTGCCACTCGTCTATCTGGAGCTGGACCGGTACCGCCTGGATCTCTGCGGTATTCAGGAGGTCCGGTGGACTGGTTCTAGTATGAGCGTGTGTGGAGGAGAGGCTGCCACTCGTCTATCTGGAGCTGGACCGGTACCGCCTGGATCTCTGTGGCATTCAGGAGTTCCGGTGGACTGGTTCTAGTATGAGTGTGTGTGGAGGAGAGGCTGCCGCTCGTCTGTCTGGAGCTGGACCGGTACCGCCT